CTCCACTGTTCACAGCAAGCTGTGGTCAAACCAAACATCCTGGTTTGAAGGAGCAGAAAACATGAACCATCCTGCTTCTTAAATATCTGGGAAACGTGTGGTTAAAAGAAGGACGTGTCTGAGGAAAAGGCTCCGGCCAGCCTGAACTCATCCTTCATCAGCACACAGAAGAGTCTCTGAGGCAGAGCCTTGGAGTACGGCGCCGGGCGGGGAACACACGTCCGCAGCAGAATCTCTCGACCCGCTGGAGGCGGGAAGTCCGGCACTTTTCTACTTTCACCTGCCGGCTCCACGTCCTCATCCAGAGGGGACAGGAGAGCAGCCTGAGGACACAACCAGAGACAAATGTGTTGAAGACAGGACAGAAGGATTTCTGCCTGACGTTTGACAGCCTCAGAGAAATGTTAGGCATTAATACAGAATGAGCCATGGGTCCTTCAGTCCAGGCTGTGTACGGATGAAAGATGAAAATAACAATAAATACAGCAGATCTGGTCCAGAGGCCTATTGCATGAAACTAGGATAAGGGATTAACTCGGGATTTTGGTGTAAAACTGAATTAATTAAGTCCTGAATCGGTTGCACGAACTACGAAGCACGTATGTTTCTGTGGTAACACGTGCTCTGAAACTAACCTGGTCCCAACCAGGTTTAAAGTGAAGCTTATTTAATCTGTTAGTGTTTTTGAGCGGTAGAGTCATTTTACTGCAGAAAACTGTTCCTCTAACCAAAGTTTCACAGTCTTATATCAGCTAAAAAGTATTTTGATCTTGTTTTTAGACCCATATACTAAACAAGACCAGAATATGTTGGATTATTAATCTTGTTCATCTGAAAAGTATTTGTTTTAACTTCAAGAAGTCTTACCAAGTGCAACTGTCAAACTGCAGATTAATTATTATTAATTTGAAAAGAATAAGGGTCTAATCTAGTAGTTTAAACTTATTTTTAGAAGCCTAATTTTTGTAGTGTCTGATCAGAAATCAGTTCTTCATACAATTATTAAATTTATTCTTTTTTTTCTTTGCATTAAAATATTGCAGAGTAAATATTTTTATTTTATTTATTTATCAGATTATCCATGAAAAAGAATAATAAAAAAGACGTAACCTCAGCTTCACCTTTAAAATAGTCTTCAAAATAATATGACAAGTCCCCCCTTCTTTGTGTTGCTACAGGCTACACACCTCCAC